CCCTGTCTAGAACTTGTAATGCTAATTATTCTTGCCTTTACTTCTCCTTCACATCTCCTATTCACCAGTCAAGGACTTTCTTTTCTCCCTAGAGATAAGAGTTATGCAATTTGGGAGTCTTTGAGATAGACCCACTGAAAGCGTATTCCAGTTGACTCACCCTCGTCCCTGTTCAGCATGGAAGGAGCCAGAGCGGGTCTGTGTCCCGATTCCCATCAGAGGATGGTGTGATAAGAATTGGAGATAGGAACTGGCTAGGCAGTTAGGGTAAAAAGACCCCAAAGAAAAGTAGCCAGTTTCTTGGTAAAACTCATAATGTCCTTGGGCCTCTTAGCAACTTACTTCATTCCAAAGGCCAAAAATGTCAAAAATATTTGGGAGCTTTTATCTAATCCTTAAAAGACTTTAGGATTACCTCTTCCGAGGGGGGAATGTTAGAGTAGCCAAAATTCCCAGTATAAAAAAAAAAAATCGAAGAAAAAAAGAGTACATGAAGTTGTCAGAAAAAAGGGTTGGGAGATATGGGAGGAGTTGGAGGGGAAGGATTGGGCATGGATTTGGTCAAAACACCTTATATGCATGTATGAAATTCTCAATAAATTATTTATTTAAAAAAGAAGATAAAATAAAATTTTAAAAATCTTCTGAAACTAAAAAAAAAAAAAAAAAAAATTCAAGTGAAGAAGCGGAGTATTGTGATACCATTCCTTTAATCCCTGAATTCAGGAGGCAGAGGCAGGTAGATCTCTTAAGATTGAAGCCGGTCTGGTCTACATAGTGAGTTCCAGGTCACCTGGGGCTACAGGGTGACCCTGTCTCAAAAACACCAAAGGAAAAAAATTCAAGTGATGACAATGTCTAAAACTGGTAGCAAATAAAGAGCTTCATAGTTAAACAGTGTATAAATTTAGTTTCATCATGACATATATATAATTTGACTTCATTTAATAATTGTGAATATTAATCTTGATTGCCAAGTGGACAGGATTTAGAATCACCCAGGAGACAAACCTATGGATGTGCCTGTAAGAGTGCATCCATAGAGTTTGATTGAGGAGAGAAGACCACCCTGAATATGAAACCATCATTCCATGAGATAGGGCCCAGAGTGAAGAAAAACAACACCAGTTGAACACCATCACTCATGTCTCTTTGTGTTCTGACTACAGACACAGTGTGACCAGCTGCCTTACTCTCTTTCTTCCATGCCATCCCCACAGTGATAGACTGTGCTCTCAAACTATGAACCAAAAGAAATCTTTTCTTCTTTAAGCTGCTTTTGTAGGCAATTTTTTGTCACAGCAAGGACATATTAGCTACTTTTCTGTTCCTGTGATAAGACACTGTGACAAGGTAACTTATAGAGGGAAGAGTTTATTTAGCATAAATTCCAGAGAATTAGTCCATAATGGTGGGGGAGGCATGGCTGAGGTGGCAGGAGCAGAAAGCAAGCAGGCACAGGAAGCAGAGGGAGACTAGAAATTTGGCAAGGCTTAAGAACTCTCAAAGTCTGCCCTAGTGACGTGCTTCCTACAGTAAGGCCACACCTTCTAAGACCTCCCAAATCAGCGCCACCAGCTGGGGAAAAAATGTCCAAATACTTGGAGCCTATGGGGGACATTCTCATTCAAACCATAACAAATGAGAAAAACTAAGTAACACAGTTGGTAATATTTTATTTCTCTGTCTCATGATATTAGAGAAGGTAAAATGGGGCCAGTAACTAGGAGAGAAAAATGTAAAGACATATCTAAGTATAAAGTTATATTTTTGGTAAACAATATTTTTAAAAGGGAGTTTTTGGATAAGAAATAATTTTGTATGATTAAATGAACTTTTTGTCCTATTGTAAAAAATGTGAAGAAATAATATAGTGTAAGGTACACAATAATTTAGGAAATTTTTCTATAGACTAACAAAATAAAATGGGATAGTAGAATCAAAGAAAGAAATGGAGTTAAGATATATTTGTTTGTTTCCGAGCTAAGGGTGATACAATAGGACAATTGTGTAGAATAAAAAAGAGCTTCAGAGAGGAAAACACTGTCAACCTGGCAGAGAAAAAGTATTGCTGAGTGGATACCCAAGAGGATTCTAATGTACAAGCCAAGCCACTGTTTTCTCCACAGTAGCAAAGGAGAAATATGAATACATGGTAAGAAGTGGAAGGATGAAGGTGCAGAAAAAAGTGAGGTTACATACAATGTATGGTGTTTCTGAGCTCTAGGAAGAAGTATGCTGTGCCTGTGAAAGTCACAATCAAGGACATCTTGACAGGAAAAAGGTGCAGAGTGATAAACAAGGACTACTCATCTCATCTGGAATCTACCTTCCTGGAATAGTTTCCTTTACATTTTGCCATGGTTGAATGTTCCCAAAGGTTTTATCTATTTTGATTGCCTGAGCTATTATTGCTTTTGAATATGAAAATTATAAAGAAAAGTCCAGAAAGCTAAAGAAGAGATGGGATTCCTTAAAAATATTTTCTTTCTCAATACAAAGTATATGTGAAGATAAAGACCTTAGGAAGAAAAATATGTTCTGTTCTTTTTTTGCATCTGATTCCTTCCAACTAAATGATGCCAAAGTTTATACTTCTTTATCCAGAAGTTCTGAATATACCAAATGGCCAGTTCAACTCACTGATTATAGGAAAATTTTATAAATAAATTCTGGAACATAATTTCTCTCTACTGAAAAATGAGTCATTAGATTGCTTTGAAACATGAGTGCTTCACATACTATTCAAAGGACCTCTCAGTTATAAATAAGTAAAGAGGCTAAATATAAACCACATCCATACCTCTCACAGCTGACTGGGGAGGCTGAGTCAAAACTTTTATGTCTAAGGCACTGTTGATATTCTCTTCTAAAGAAGCGCAGTATCCATCTACAACACTGGTGATAGTATCCTTCAGAGTTCCGAGGTTATGGAAAACATGAAGAGCTGTTCCCACTTGAGTTGGATTCTTAAACAAAGGTGACATGGAATGAAAACAGATATAAATTGGAAATGAGAAAAACCAATATAAATCTATAACTCTAATTAGTATTTCAATAGTTACTACTATATGTCCAAATTAACAAAGGTAAGAAAAAAGACAATTTGGAACAAATATTATTCTTAATCATATTTTTTTCATAAGGTAGTAAATATATACATGCATATATACATACATATATTTGTGCATTACCCTTTTGTTTCCTCCTTCAAAAGAGAGTAGCAAGTTTGGAAGTCTGTTGTTTAATAGTAGATCTTATTTAAAATTCATCACCAATGGCTACTAAACATGCCATTATGAAATTAAAGGCAATCCTATATATGTTATAAAGGATATAAATGGTCTGCAGGGCCGGCAGAGGGCTGAGCCATATATTTTTTGCAGGGCCTACTATGGATCTGTCAGAATACTGAGTACTGGAAGCAAAGGAGTATAACAAATTAAGTCCCAACCCTTATGGAGTTTTTAACTCATTGTGAAATATACAAAACAAAAATAAACCAGAACATCAGGTAGTGATAAGTACTTTTTTTTTTTGGTCTTCTTGGGACAGGGTCTCCCTGTAGTTCCAGCTGGCCTGGAACTGGCTATATCTGTCTCTGCCTCCCAAGTGCTGGGATTAAAGGCATGTGCCACCACACCTGGCTGTGATAAGTACTTTCAAAAAACAACAACAAAAGCCAGGTGTGGTGGTGCATGCAGGTGGATCTCTGTGAATTCAAGGCCAGCCTGGTCTACATAATGAGTTCCAGGACAGCTCAGGCTATAGGGAGACCCTGTCTCAAAAAGACCAAAAAACAATAACAACAACAATAACACTGAGAATAAGAATGGAGAATTAGCAGATCACTAGAGAGGAGCAAGAGAATGCAGCTCTATGGTGATCCTGAGAGAGACCAGAGTATCCTGAGCGAAGGACATTAAAGAAGATGCAGGAAACAGGTCTGTGAAATGGTATCAGCAAAGGACTGAGAAAAAAATGTGCTTGGTGTGCTAGTGAAAGGGCAGGGAGGCCTGAGGTACCTGCAGCAGCAAGAGGGGAGGCAGGCAGCAAGCAGCATCAGCACTGCCAGCCAGCAGAGACAGCCTTGAAGATGTGCGTGCTTAGATCTGTTGCTAAGTGAATGGCTAAATAACTAGCTAGAAGCCAAAACACTGACATATATTTCTAGGACAATAGCTAAAATTCTTCCTTTATGACTCTATCTTTGTAAGTTAAATTATTTCACTAATTTGTTTTCTAGATGTTTAAAAATAAGATAAAAAAGTCTCTTGTGAAGTCTATTGGTATTACTATAAAATAATATACCCTCTGCAGAGAAGAGGGAGGGAGGGAGAAAGAGATGGAAGGACAGAGGGATGGAGGTAAATCAGAGGCAGCTTTAAAAATAACAGGAAATAAGTTTGGTAAATAAAAATCCATTCAAGATTTATTTTTTATTAAACAAGAAAAAAAAATCAAGTGAATATTATTCCAAATTAACATGTTCTGATGAGGAGAGATGGCTCAGCATTCAGAGAACTTGCTGCTCAAGCGTGAGGACTCAGAGTCTGGATTACCAAAAACCCAGGTGGGCCTAATGGCCCACATGTAATTCCAGCCTCTTAAAGGAAAGTGCAGATCCCCAGAGCAAGCTGGTTAGCAAGACTAGCCATATCACTGAGCAATGGGTGTAACTGGCAGAATCTGCTTCAGTGAATAATGGAGAAAAGCAATGAGGATAATTTGCTGACCTCGACCTAAGGCCTCCACACAAATGCACACATGTGCATGAATCCAAATATACGTGAACCAACACACATACAAAAACTTGCACACACATACACACACATACACACACATAACGCACAAATACACACAAACACACAAAAAATAAAGGGAAAAATGTTCTAAGTAAAAGGCTTAGTATAGCCGGGTGTGGTGGTGCATGCCACTGTGGAGCACTGTGGAGGCAGAGGAAAGCAGATCTCTGAGTTCAAGGCCAGCCTGGTCTACATAGTGAGTTCCAGGCCAGCTGGGACTACAGGGAGACCCTGTCTCAAAAAGACCAAAAAGAGCTTAGTATAACATCATAATATAGTTGTATCTTCATATAGACCTTCAATTCTACACTTCTGTGCCAAACAAAACAAAAAAAACATAGAGGAGAAAGCGGCCTAATATAAAATAACTGGGGCTGGGGAAACAGCTCAGTGAATAAAGTGTTTGCTATGCAAGCATGAAGAACTGAGACCAGATCCCCAGCAATCACGCAAAAGCTGGGCATAGCAGCACGTGTCTGTAACCCCAGCACTGAGATGGCAGGGACAAACAGATGCTTGAGGCTTGCTCAACAGCCGGTTTAGCTAAAACAGTGGCAAGCTTCAGTTACCGTGAGAATCCCCGCCTCAAAAATAATAATAATTAAGTAAATAAGGAGCTAAAGAGATGGGTCAGTGTTTAAGAGCACTATCTGCTGTTGCAGAGGCCCTGGATTCAATTCCCAGCACCCACACGGCAGCTAACAACTGTCCATAACTCCAGTTTCAGGGGATGTGACACCCTCTTCTGACCTCTGCAGACATTGCATAACATGGGTACACTTACATACATGTAGGCAATACACATAAAATTTAAAAAGGTATAAAAAACATACAGGAAGACCCCTGACCTTAAGCACCGGTGCATACACAGGCACATGTTCCCTATACATAGGTCCATACACTCATACACCACATAACTGAAAACAGGGTTCAACTTTTTTTCCATTATTTCTATCTTTTTACTTTCTTCTAAGAGGGAGGGTGTGTGTGTGTGTGTGTGTGTGTGTGTGTGTGTGTTATCTTATTATCAGAGACAAAGGCTCAAAACAGGGACAAAGAAAAGAAATTTGCCATGCCACTACTCACAAGTATATATAATCCAAGAAACCATTACTGAAGTAAAAGTCAGTAACTCTGAATTGTTTATGGCTTCTTAAATTGTACCCTTCCAAGTATTATTACTACTTTAACTTTTGAAAACACTATTGATTAGTTTTGCCTGTTTGTCACCTTGCCTAAACAGAATTACAATTTTGTATCTGGCTTCCTTTTCTCAGTATCTTATATATAGAATAATTCCATGTTGTTCCATGTAACAGTAGCTGTTTATTTCATTGCTGTTTAGTACTGCATTGCAGAAATATAAGTTCATCAACCCATTCTATTGTGAATATATGTTTGGGTTATTTTCAATTTTAGATATTTTAATTAATACTGCTGTGAATTCCAATACCACTTGATGAACATATGCATTTCTGTTGTGTAAAAGTAGAATTGAATTATAATGTGTTTCCATGCTTAGTTTTATGGATACTGCAGATTTCCCAAAGCCACTGCAACAATCCATAGCCTTACCAGAAATTCCAGATGCTCTAGCAACTCACCTAAAATTATAACAATCACCACTTTAATTTAGTTACTGTTTTCAGTGAGCACTATGGTTTTAATTAATTTTTCTATAGTGACTAAGGAAGTTATCTTTTCATGCATGATAAGTATATGTTCTAGTTACCTTTATGTTGCTGTGATAAAACACTGACTAAACGCAACTTGGGGGAGTAAAGGGGTTATTTCACCCTACAGCTTACAGTCCATTAAGGTAGGAAGTCAAGGCAGGAACCTGAGGCAAGTGCCTAGAGGCAGGAACCTGAAGCAGAAACCATGGAGGAATGCTTTACCGCCCCTGACCTTGCTCAGCTAACTTTTTATAAAGCTCAGGCCCACCTGCCAAGGGATGGTACCACCCATAGTGGGTTGGGTCCTCCTACATCAATTAATAATCAAGAAAATGCCTCACAGGCATGCCCAAAGGCCAGTCTGATGAAGGAAATTCTCTAATTGAAGTTCCTTCTTCTCAGGTGACTGTAGTTTGTGTCAAGTTGACAAAAGACTAAGTACAGTATCTATTTTATGTGTGTGTGTGTGTGTGTGCGTGCATGCGTGCCTGTGCATGTGTGTGTCATAATACATGTTGTCCTGTTGTCCATTTTTCTAACTGGTTCATTTTTGCTATCTATGTATTTGTACAAAATGTTTATATATTTTAGATGTAATCACTTTATGATTGTATTTATTGTAAAAACGTTCTTTCTTTTACATGGCTGGAGAGATGGCTTGGCTCAGCAGTTAAGATCACTGATTGTTCTTGCAGAGGACTCAGGTTCAATTTCTAGGACCCACATAGAGGCTATCAACTGTTGGTAACTCCAGGTCTGGAGGATATGATGTCTTCCTCTGACCTCCTTGGGCAATGCATGACACAGGTGCACTTACACACATGCAGACAATACACATATAAAATAAAAATAAAAATAAAAATTTTTTTTTGGTCTTTTTGAAACAGGGTCTCTCTGTAGCCACAGCTGGCTTTGTAGACCAGGCTGGCCTTGAACTCACAGAGATCTGCCTGCCTCTGCCTCCCAAGTGCTGGGATTAAAGGCATGCACTACGATGCTCGGCAAAAATAAAAATTTTTTAAATGTTCTCTGACTAAAATCTTTTTAAGGAAAATGACTTCTAATTTGAATGTAATTCTTCATTAAGCAGAAAAAATTCCTAATCTGAATGCATATTTTATTGTTAGCACTTTTGGCATCCTGTTTTTTAAAATATTTTTTGTTCTTTAAAGGTTCTATGAGCCTTTGTTGGTCTGAGCAGTAGGAAGCAAGCAATGCAGTCACCAGGGCTTCAGCCACAAACCCAGAGGTGGTTCAAGGCAAGCATGCCAGCCTGGTGGCCATCCATCTGGGACTGCTCCTCCAGTAGAAGACCACTGAGACATACCAGGTCCTACTGCTTTACTCCCAGATCAGGGGGCTGAATTCCTTGAATGTATGGGGGCTTAGGGGGAAGGCTTCGTGGGAGGGATGGTAGAATGCAGTGACAGGAAGATGGAAAGAGGACCATTAGAATAGGAAGGATTAAATGGGGTGGAGAATGAGAGG